TATTATTTTTTCTTTTTCATATCTATATAATAGACGATATGAAATTATTAATCTTTAATATAACCATTTTCAATTTGTCTGTTTCATTATAGAATTTAAAGCAAAGAGAAGTATTTCAAATTTTCATGTCTTGTTTTTTTTCTTATTGAAAATGTATACAGTTGATATATTTATGATTTATATGAATTTAAACTATGATATCATATCAAATAATTGATAAAGGATAACTAAATCAAAACTCTTCTCATAGTAGAATCGAACAAGTCTCGTGAAATATTCATGTAGGAAGATTGTTATTAGTTTATTTATATATGAATGTACTTTTTCTTATAGCTGAATATTTTTATGCAACGCAAAATACTTGAGAAAAGATTAATATAAATAAATTCTCGATTATAAGATTTTCAGATTGAAAAATTAGATAAATGATGTCTATTTCTAATTTTTAACTTTTTTTATTCATTTAAATCAACATCAAAATTTTACAAATAGTTTAATTTACTGTTTGAAATATTTAATTTTAGTAATGATTTAACAAAAAACAAAAAATTTCCATATGAAAAAAATTCATAGTAGAAATAAAGAAACCTATTAATTGTTGATTAAAATAATCAATTGATTTAATACAAAAAAAAAAATTCTTATTTAAATAGGTATGCAAATTCTTTTATTCTCTGAAGTTAGTGCAAAAAAAGAATGTCGAGGTTGGTATCGTGTTGGTCATCATATTAATTATTCAGAAACTAAACAACATTCATATAATAATTCATTACTTGATAAAGATATTAATTATTATGAACTTGGTTTTCAACTTGTATGTTATAAACAAACAAAAAAATGAATTAATTAAATAATGTTTATTTTAGGAATTTACGCATTCGGGTGATACATGTTATATAGCTCATTGTTATCCATATACATATACAGATTTAAAAGATGATTTAGAATATTTAACAAATACAAGATCACGTGAAATATTTCGTCGAGATATATTATGTGAATCTCAAGCAGGAAATTCATGTTTTATAATAACTGTAACAGATGAATGTAAATATTAAAAA